TTATCCCGCAGATTTACATTGATACAGCCGTCTGATCTAATATTGCATTCTTTGTCACTTTTGTCCAGCTTGCCCAGATAACAAAAGGTCCTGTAATCCAGCCACCATGTCTGTTATATATTCTTCAGCAGTCAGTCCGCTTCTGTTATTAGTGGAGCCCTGTCCATGTATGGAAGCCTGTCCACATTTCTTGTGGTAACCCTGTTGCTTATAATATGACAGACGTTTCCTTGGTAACCCAATTACCCAATAACTGTCTGGCCTGTCAAATCTACACCCTTAAAGTCCATTTTCACCTTTGTAAGTGATTTGCATTTATTGTGGTAATGTAGAGGTGCAGTGATGATGTATTTGTGTGCACATTTTCATGACAAGGACACATAACCCCCCTGTTGCTGGGAACAAATTAACCCTTAGCAGGACCCCTCTTGTTTTCCCAAACCCCTGTCATGTAGGCCTTCCACAGACGCCTCCGTCTGCTGTTCCAGGCCTGTCTTGACTCACATTGCAGGCTTTCTTTGTATATTTATTTATTTTTATTAACGTTTTATTAGACCTAAATTCTAGAAACTAAACATGTTCTCCACGGGAAAATCAGTCTTGACACCTGTTTTGGATTGAAAATCAGACTGTAAACAGCTGCCCCCCTCCTTGTGATTCTGTGTACAGGTGCCCATACACTGCACGATTCTCGTACGAGAATCGCAGGAAATCCCGCGATCGTACGAGAATCATGCAGTGCTTCCATACTAATGTACGGTCGCACGTCTTTCGTTTCTAATGTACGGTCGCACGTCTTTCGTTTCTAATGTACGGTCGCACGTCTTTCGTTTCTAATGTACGGTCGCACGTCTTTCGTTTTTAATGTGGTCGCACGTCTTTTGTATATCGAGCATGTTGGAAAACCAGCCGAGAATCGTACGATTTTCGGCTGGTTTTTAACATGATCGAGAGATCACTGCCGAACGGGCCGGTGTGCGCATGCGAACACTGCCCGTTCAGGGGGCGGGGTTGCGATGATCGCAGGTACGATCTGCCTGTCCAAGATGGGCAGATCGTACGTTTTTTTAAGTACTTTACAACCACCGCAAGACAAAAGTCTTGCGAGGGTTGTAAAGTGTATGGGCACCTTTACACGATCACTAAACACCAGCTTTGCCTTTGCACATAATACTCTGTCCAGGAAGGAAGTTGCCACTATGAATACTAATGAATGGGGAGTGGAGAGCTCACAGAGAGAGCTCAGTTGTAATATAACACAGGGCCGACATCAGGGGGGGGGTACAGCTGATACTCATGTGAGGGGCCTGGGCAGCCCATGGGGCTTGGGACCCTTACATGGGTATTGGCCGACGACCTTACAGGTGACAGGGGAGGAGGCCGGACCCCAGTATCGCCGATCCGGCGTCTTCGGAGGAGGCTGGGGCCCAAGCAGCGCCACTGGTGTTCTGATCTCCGACCAGCCAGAAGTGACATCACTTCCGGCCGTTCCGGCGGCAGAGGAGGCCAGGCCCTAGGAGCAGGTAAGAGGAGAAAACTGCGCCCCCACCTGAAAAAACTGCACCATAGAGAGTGTCAGATGGGCGGTGCAGCATCTACGGTGTGCTCTGCACGCTCACTCTCAGGAGGGCTATGTGGGTCTCGGGTATGTGTGGGGTCTCAGTTGAGTCCAATGCCTATACTGTTCTGCATTGCTGTATATTGTATTACTGGGATTTGTAGTCCCTACAGCTGGTGCCATTCTGCATTAGAGTGTAAGCTCCTCTGTGCAGAGACTGATGTGACTGGCTCTGTGTTCTCTGTACAGCACTCCGGTATATGTCAGAGCTATATAAATGTATAATAATAGTGTGTGACTGTGGAGAGACAATAGAGTGTAAGCTCCTCTGGTGCGCCGACCGCCAGGGGGGTTGGGGGGCCAGTTTGTTCCTTAGGTCAACTGCTGTTGGGGGTGGGGGGCAGTCCTAAAGCTGTGTAAGGGGCCCCAAAATGTCTGATGGCTGCCTTGTATACACACACTGCTTGCACAGCACACAGGCGTCCATTTCCATGAGGATATGAAGAGGAAAGCTAACAAAAAATTTAAGTTTCTGTTTTTTATATACAGCAACTGCATATGTCTGATCAGGGCCGGCCTTAGGCCTTTAGACGCCCTGTGCGAGAAAGCTTTACAGCGCCCCTCAGTGACCACACCCCTCAGTGGTCACACCCTTTAGTGGCCACTCCCCCAGTAACCACACCTATTTACCCAATATCCGCACCATTTAAAGACTCCTATTTTGTTAAGCCCCAAAGAAACATATTAAAAAGTATGATAAAAATAAAACTTTTATTCAAAGGTATTAAACTTGTCGGCACAATAGAAGTATTCGTATTACATAGAACAATAGAAAGCAAACAATAAATGTCAAACTATAATAGAGTCTATAAAAATAATGTGTCAGGTTGTCATGCCGATCCCTTTCCTCAAGTAAGTGCATCTAGAAAAGTAAAAATAAAAAACAGAACACAAAATCAAGAGTACATGTAAAATTAATGAATTACTATTTGCCCGAATATAAGAAAAATGTATTCCGGGCACATAATAATTTGTTTGAGAATGTGCGGCGGCCATGTTGGCCCCCGGTGCATTCTGCGAATGCGTGCCCCCATCTTGGTGGCAGGGAGCACGACGCCATGCATGCATGGCGTCAGGTGATGTCACACGCCGATATAGGCGCTGCCATCTTGGTGTATACCGTTGAAGAGGTAATTTTAAAAAAAACATATGCCAGCATTGTACATGAATCAGACACAGGGCCGGCCTTAGGGGTGTGCGAGCTGTGCGGCCGCACAGGGCGCCATGGCAACAAGGGCACCTCTGCAACGGTGGAAATGGGATTTCCGTGGTGATTGGTGACCAGGGGGACCCTGTCCTGGTCTCACTTTGAACTTGGTGACACTGTTACCAATCCAACTGCAACCATGTGTAGTTTAGCTACAACCCTATGTAGCATTTTTGGACCCCCCCTTCTTATAGCAAAAATCATATGTTTAACAAGTGACAGAGACAACATGAAATAAAACAAGGCAACATAAAACAAAACCACCAATCAAAACTAAAGACAGACACGGAGAGACTAAGCGGAGGGGCTACATGACTGGGGGGAGGAATAGTCCCGGGAGAAAGGGTTAAAAAATAAATGAGAATAGCTGCTCTTACCTGATTGGATGTGGAAGTCAGGTGTCCGGGAGGATCCGCATGGGAAGGAACTGCGAGGGCTGAGGGACGTCCTCTTTCTGGAAATCGACGAATGAAGCAGGTTGTCACGAGGGGAGGTAGAGTCCCTTGTCCTGAAATACCTGCCATATGTATTAAGTACTAAACACTTAAACGTAAGCAACAATAGGCTTACCTAGCCGGCATAATGCAATTAATTCCTCTGGTGGATGCGGCTTCTGTTTTTGGGTCCTCAGGATCCTATTGCCCTCTCCTGGCTTAGGGCTCACCAAAGAACAGATAGGATTTTTTTTAAACACACCAACAGTGTATACAAGTCTAATTGGTGGTACCAGATTAATAAAACACTGCAGTGAGTGGAACAGAAACACAAGACCCCAAGTATCTCAAGAATCCGTTCTGTAATTTATTGGGGTGTGTTAAGGTTTTTATACAGACACTTATGTAGGCATCATAATAATATTACAATGATATGAAAAGAAGGTATATAGCTTTATGAAGATAAGTCTTGGGTGTTATTAAAATGTCAGGAATGTGGTTACATGAAAAAGCAGAGAAACAACTCCTAATTTTGAGAAAAACAACTAGTATCGTGTAAAAAAAGATTGGTACAGAGTGCTGAGCTTATAAAATGGATGTAGCACAGATACGTGTATATACAAAGTTTACAATCTCTCTCATATTCTATATACAACATTATGAATAAACCATCCATCACGTGACGTTGCCGCGTGTGCTCGATGACGTCGCTGCACATGCGTGGTCGTCTTATTGCCATCTTGGTGATGGACACCGGCAGAGAGAGGAGGGGGCGTTCACCCGGCGAGATAAGGTATGCCACCGGGTCCGCTCTCTCCTGACACTGTCGTGCTCTCGGTCCTTGAACGAGTGCCCGACTTTTCATAGGGGATGACACCAAAATAATAACTGTCAGTCATTTTGGTGACACCCCTCTAATGGTGGCACCCGGCTGCAGGCCGCACCCCCCCCCCCTTGTGACGCCACTGTTCATAATAAATGAACATTTGGTAATCCTTACAAGGATTTGTTTGTGTGCTGGTGACATTCTTCTATATAATTCACGTGATAACGGCGCCATCCGCAGTCACTGCGACCACCCTGGAAAGGAATGCAACAAGACCTTCTTCATTCATTCATTCATTCTGCCTACGTTCTGCAGTTTGCATCCCAGCAATTGAACAATGGACCGTCACATTACCCTCTATGGGTCTATGGGGTTGATCCAGATAGAAATCAAGCTGCCTGCTATCTAACCCCTGCCTCTACTGTCCTAGGTGGACAACTGCAAAAGTTATGGCACTGTTGAGGTGGATCTGAAACACTTCTACAAAGATCAGAGACAGATTTTCACTCAAAACATATGAACAAATAAAGTGACACTAAACTCAGGAGTTAAAGGAGAACTATGAGGAAAAGCCTTAACCCCATAGTTCTCCTTTAAAGCTTAAAAATAAATTCAAGCACCGTAATTATTAACAACTATGTATCTTATTTGTGTATCACTCGGCTGTAGATCCTCAAATCATCTCTGAATTGGTGCTGACACTGTCCTTCCTTCTGGAGGGGGGCTACTTTTGTTCCCCATGGTCCCTGTGTGTATTGCAAAGTAGTCACCGCTCCAAGCTCGCTCCCGTGATGGACTACAGTCTCATGTTTGGTTTACTCATTTGTATTGAGATTGTAGTCCATCCCGGGAGTGAGCTTGGAGCGGTGGCTACTTTCTCAAGCTCAAAGGTTGATACCCCCAATTAATCATTACTTACATTCCCAAATTCCTCCCGGATACCTTTACAGGACCTTTCCCTACCCATAACGCAGCACGAAGGGGCTCAGTGAAGGTGGTGGTGAAGGTGTGTAAGTGTCTGACTGAGTCACGAAGCTCATAAAAGGACAGCTGTCCGGCCTCATAGTCCAGATAGATCCTGACAGTATTCCTGGGGATATTGTCAGGTGATAGGATCACAGTGCTGTCATGTATTACTGAGCACTGATCATTGTGTCTGTACAAACCCCAGGACTTGTTGTTATAACCAATCCATGAGTGAAACCATCCCGTCCTCTCTATACTGGGGTAACACATCCCAACTATCCAGCACTCTGACTGGCTGACATCCACTTCCCAGTAATGTCGCCCTGAGAAAAATCTCCTGCTGCTTAATACCTGAGCACAATTCTCAAATCTCTCTGGTGTTTCTGGACGATTCTGTTTCATATTTGACCAGGATACAGTTTTCATGTCCTCTGATATCTGTAGATAATTATGAGCTGTGTTCACATCCAGTAATATGTCCGCAGCTTTCTGTATATTGTAGGAAATATTTACCATTTTTATCATATCAGATATCCCCGTGTGTAATGTGCGTGCGATTCCTGCCACTTCCAGATCCCTTCCATCATGGAGGAGTTTATCATGTCTCTCTCTGTCCTCATCATCTACCTCCTCAGCATCATAAAAGTCCCCTGTGTCTGATTCTTGCAAAATAGTCAGTGGGTCAGTCATGTTACACATTTCCACAATGTGACGTATCTTCATGGACAGCTCGTCCTTCTTTTTTCCTATTTGATGGATTAGGTCAGACAGTGGTAGTAAGAGCTTCTCTTCCTGCTCAGAGATCTCCCTCAGGATTCTCTTCTCCAGGTCCTCCAGATGTCTCCTGAGGTCTCTGAACAGGGCAGTGACTCTCACCTTTTCCTCAGCTGCTTTCTGATGTACATTTCTCATGCGTTCCTGCAGACTCTGGACTCTTTGCTGAGTCTCCTCTCTCTCTGTGATGAGTCCCTGCAGATCATTTTTTAGTTCACGTTTCTTCTTCTCAGAGGCCTCATCCAGAGTCTCCACCTTGTGTCCCTGGTGTTCTCCAGCCAAACTGCAGGACACACAGATACAGGTACCCTCCATGGTGCAGTAGTACTCCAGAATCTTCTTATGGACGGAGCATTTTCTGTTCTCCATGGAAGTGGTGGGTTCAATTATGACGTGCTCTGATGACGACTTGCTGTGAACTTTTAGATGCTTCTCACACAGAGAAGCTTCACACTGCAGACAGGATTTAACAGCAGGTACAGAAAAGCGAATACAGTAAGAACAAAAGATTCCGGTCTCCCCTTCGTCTGGCTGAGTAGCTCGGAAAACCTCTGCAATGTTACGCAGGTTTATGTTCCTCTGAAGTGTGGGACGACTTGTAAACCTTTGTCTGCATTGAGGACAGGAGTAAACTCCACACCTTTCCTGTGCATCCAAAACATGACCTATGCATGCCCGACAGAAGTTGTGTCCACATCTCAGGTTTACAGGATCTGTATAAATGTCCAGACAGATGGAACAGTCCAGCTCATCTCTCAGATCAGCAGCCGCCATCGCTGACAGCAGACGAGAGAAACGAAACTAGAAGCCTCGCGTACTCAAAGAATCAAAGGCGTTTCACATTCTTCTCTACTGGGAGGGGCTGAACTAATCTCATATCCTGTATGCAGAGCAAGCTGCAGATCCAAGCATAGAAGCTTGACAGGGTAAGACATAAGCTATCAGACTACACCTAGATTGCTACAGCAACTCCCCCTTCTAAATGTCCATACCCAATAAGAGACCACACCAAGTTGGATATAAAATGGCTGCAGCAGCCGTTTATTCAAATATAATATTTTATAACAGAATTGAATATAAAACATTCAATTATCCCAATATAAATACAATGGATTCCTATCAATATGGCTTGAGGTCTGTGAAGGCACCATTAGTCTCCTACCGTAGATCTCTGCATACCACTTAACCAACTGGCCCCCAACATAGTACAGGGACAACATAGTACATAACAGCAGAGACCTCTCACCCTCGCTCTTTGACCTCTCTCTGCGGAGCCCGCAAGCTCCCAGGACTGCGTACCGACGACGAGCCCAACCGGAGGCTTGACCACTTGGACAGATATAGCCTAAACCAGGGATGGCCAAACTGCGGCCCTCCAGGTGTGGTGGAACTACGAGTCCCATGAGGCTTTGCAAGATTCTCACAGCCACAGACATGACTCCCGGAGAGAGATGCTTCATGGGATTTGTAGTTTCACCACAGCTGGAGGGCCGGAGTTTGGCCATCCCTGGCCTAAACAGACCAAGCCACAGCACCAAACAGAGGGTGGGAAGTGAGATCACAGTGTGACAACCCTGGACTGACTAGACGACCCTCCGCCCCCCTCTGACCACCGTAAAGGCTCCTCCTGGCTAATCCAAACCGACCAATCAAGGTAAGTGACCACCACACACACCCTCCATTAACCTTAACCCTTTCTTTCCTGATTCCCTGTCTACCCTGTCATGTAGTCCTTTCACCTATTCTTTTTTGTCATTAGCTCCAGGACTTTCTTTATTGAAGTTGCCTAGATTTCTAAAAGAAATGAAAAAATACCTACGGAGGAAATGATCTGAGTTACAAAAGGTATGCAGGCGGAAAACTATAATAATGCAGTATCCACGCCGTGTGGATAAGCTTGATTTTTCAATTAAGGGATATTTGAAGGGGGTTCGGATCTCTGGAAGACATTGATCTCTTTTTTATGGGGAAAACTGTACTAAACATATACAATGGTAAAGACCTCAAAAAGAAGAGTTAATAAAAGTTTAAAAAAAAGAAGAGTAACAAAATGTGCATTACCAGAATATGCTTTTATGAAAGGACGTGTAAACCTAAGCTGGGTGACATTTAGTTTTCTAAAGCCCTGTGCATCAAAAACAATTAACGTATTTTGCGGTCCATAAGACGCACCGGATCATAGGACGCAGGGAGGTCCGGCGCGCCTTATGGAGCACTCGACAGACTGTAGCTTCTATGACAGAAGCTGTGACAGAAGCTGCAGTTAGTGACCGCTGAGACAGGTGGCGCTGTGATTACAGCGCCACGGTCTCTGATCACACAGAGCAGACGAAGAACGTCCGTCCTTCGTCTGCTCTATGGTGATCTCGATCGTCGCCGCTGCTCGGTTTTAATACGAGTGATCTCATTAGATCACTCGTATTAAACGAGCAGTGGCTCCTACTGCTGAACTCGATCGCCACCGCCACTGCTCGGCTTTAATACGAGTGATCTCATTAGATCACTCGTATTAAACGAGCAGTGGCTCCTACTACTCGCCCGGCGCCCAAAACTGCATGTCTCGGGCGTCGGGATTCGCTCCATAAGACGCAGGCACATTTTCCCCCTCCTTTTGGGGCGAAAAAAGTGCGTCTTATGGAGCGAAAAATACGGTAGCATCTTTTTTAATATCCTTGTTTTAATTTTGACTTGCATATCAGCACTGATGACCACCTGCAACCTCTCTGCAGCCACTTTATGGCTACATGCCCTCCAGGGACGGCTGCATGGCATTTTTCTGAACGGGTGATATCAGTGGGCCATGTCTGTGTGATGGGTGTCAGCGCAGCTGCTTGCCATCTCCACCAGGGGAGCATGAGACCAAGTGACAATGCAGAAGCACGGTTGGTAGATAGGAAGAGAATGTTGTCAACTGCTAATGGAATCAACAGGTATTATTTGAATTAGGGAATGTGCGCTTGTTCATGAATGGGGTCTTTTTTTGGATTCGGTGCAATGGTTGATTGTAACAACATTTTGTGCATTCTTGTAAGATTCTGTAAGATATTTAATTTACATTTATGCATGCTTGTGCTACGAAATAAAGTGCACAGAAGCAGAGTCGGATTCACTCTCTCTGCTGCCCCAAGGCCAGGTTCCTCAATGCGCCCCCCTACACGCCAACCCCCCACACACACACCCACACCATGGGGAATGGCAGACCTGCAGGCTGCATACAATGTAGCCAAGATCACTTGTACAAAACAAGCGGCGGCTTCCTCACTGTACATTTAGTTCTGCTAGCCCAAAGCTGGGCTAAATGTAGAGAAAACAACTACCCGTCTGGTCTTCGGGACATAGGAATTACACACCCCTGCTGCCCCTCTACTCCCTGCTGCCCCAAGGCCGGGCCTTGGTTGGCCTTGTGGGAAATCTGACCCTGCACAGAGGAGAGAATGGGGGACAGTAACTTTCTGACATAGTTGACATGGAACGTTCTAATAAAAGGCTTCCCTGAGCTTTATTCTTGGTGCTGAGCTTCCCGAATGTGTGTGCAGGTTCATTAGGTAATGTCCATAGGGAGGCCGTGGACACTGTTTAGTATACAACTTGTGTGTTCTGAATGTGTATACTGCACATCGAGAAGTCACAGAAGGGAAACTGGAGGTTATTTGTGCTGGAAGTGGACTCTCACTGAGGAAAGAGCAATGTGTGCGTGTGCTGGAGGTGGGATCTCATTAATCACTTGCTGACCGGGGTTGTATACACCCCCTTCCTGTACACAGAATACCATCTCTGTACACACAACACGCAGAACCTTGAATCAGATGGGTTACAGCCGCAGAAGACCACACCGGGTGCCACTCCTGTCAGCTAAGAACAGGAAACGGAGGCTACAATTCGCACAGGCTCACCAAAATTAGACAATAGAAGTTTGGAAAAACATTGCCTGGTCTGATGAGTTTCGGCTTCAGCTGCGGCATTCAGATGGTAGGGTCAGAATTTGGCATAAACAACATGAAAGCATGGATCCCTCCTGCCTTGTATCAATGGTTCAGGCTGTTGGTGTAATGATGCGGGGCATATTTTATTGGCACACTTTGGGCCCGTGATGCTATCATGTCAACATGGACCAAAATCTCCTGAGGAATGTTTCCAACACCTTGTTAAATCTAAGCCATGAAGAATAAAGGTAATTCTGAAGGCAAAAGGGGGTCCAACCCGGTACTAGCAAGGTGTACCTAATAAAGTGCCCGGTGATTGTAGTCTCATAGTATATAAAAACACAGCTTCATCCACTTCAACCTATGTGTGTGTATATGGGGTTTATTTATAAATAAATGCCAGGGGCCTGTGTGTTGCAAATATTTGTGAACATTCGTTTTGGAGGAATAATACCAAAAACAAATGTTCTTAAAGGAGAACTATGGGGGTCAGTGTTTTTCCCCATAGTTCTCCTTAGGGTAACGGGAGGACACAAACTAGCGTCCTCCCGTTACCCTAAGCTCAGTATACCGCGAGCTACAGCTCACTATATACTGAGACGCCGCAGCGGATCCCGACGTAGATGACGGGATCCGCCCAGCTGCGTGAGTGACAGCTGGCTCTGCCTATCTAGAGGCAGAGCCAGCTGTACCCGCCCCCTCCCCCGTCCGTTCCGCCAGTCAGCGCTGGCAGATCGGAGCGGGGAGAGGGGAATCCAGTCCCTCCCCTGTCACGGCAGAAAGCCGTGACAGGGTCGAGACGGAGCAGAACGGCGGTATGTGTTCGCTCACCTCCCGATCTACTGAGCCGACCTGTGACAGTCTCATTGTCACAGGTCGGCTAGAACTATGAGGTGAGTGAAAAGCACTCACCTTATAGTTCTCCTTTAATATCTCTTTCCCAGGTCGAATGTAGTGTTGTAATATCACCTTATGGACACTAGATGGAGTAAACAGTTTATTATCGGACCTACAGTCACCATCGGTGGATCTCTATATTTTGATCATCCCCTCTCAAGACCCTCTTCTCCAGGGTGAATAAGTATAATCCATGTTCATCATAGTTTTGCTCCTCAACACCTTTATTCCTTTTATTGCCCTTCCTGAATTCTTCATAGTTCAAGGACATCCTTCCTGTGGATCAGTGACCAAACCTACTCAAGATAAGGCTGAACCAGAGTTTTGTAAAGGGGTAGAATGATTGGTTTATCAGTAGGCTTTGTCCAGCACCCATGATAGCAGCAAAAAGGAACCTCATCCCTAGTGTAGCACCTGATTAATGTCCCCTTTAAGAGGATGGTCGGTTGCAGAGTACTGCAAATCTGAGCCTGTATCAGTGAGATTTCGATTGGTTTTGACAGACTGAGTTTTGCTGCTGTTGGGAGCTGAAAAGACTTTTGGGAGTTGGAGTCTCTGTGCAATACAGACACAGCCAGCCAGTGCGTCGTAGCCAGTGCGTCGTAGAACTACAAGGCCAAAACAGCACAGTGGAGAAGGGGAAGGACTGGAATAAACCTGAGCGCACTGAAATCGGAGGGCATTCCCCCTGCAGCCTTGTGAGTGGATGGATGTGTTGTGGACCATCTGCTTATTAGAGTGGAGACACTGCTACCGCTGCCGTTGCCAGAGACCAAGGCTGTCGTCACTGTGGAGAGAAGACGTCTGGAGGACCACAGATCATAGAAGAAGATCACCAGCACTCTGCGTCATTTAGCCAACGTTTGGGGGCCACGCAGGGTCCCTTCTTAAGGGCTATATAGCGACGAGGACCACATAGAGAGAATTCAGAGACTGCTGAGTCTGCGATCAGTA